GATAAAGAAAAAACGAAAAGTAACAAAGGCGTTATCAAGTGTCCTTATTGCTTTTCTTGTATCCTTTGTACCTGTCTGTGTGATAATTTACTTGCTTAATTTCTGTTTAAGCTGTAATTGTCTGCTGGTACATTGGTTAAGAGATATTCAGGTATTAATTGTGTCCTTAAATTCTGCTGTCAACCCCTATTTGTACGCCTGGCGTCTTCCACAATTCAGAAAAGCCTTTTTGAAAATCCTCCACCTACAAAAGAGGGTTCAGGTTCGAGTCAATCCTGCACCCTTTGCTCAAGAAAAATCGAGTGGTTAATACTCATAATCAGCAGACCACTGAGAAAAATGAGGAAAGGACACTTTTGCTTTTGATTTCGATATTTACACTTACGGTCCAAATTTCGGCTCGGGTTGAAATATTATGGAGAAAAACATTCTTCTTTTTTGCAATTGCAGTATTTCAATTTAGCTATGTCACCGGCTGATTTTAAGTAGCACCTTTTTCAGTATTTTTTAGATAGCAAACAAACATTTTTGAGCTCCACCGAGGTATCACGAGGCATTATAGACCTTAAGATGTACAGTTTTCATATACGGGTACGGGTAAATTAGCCGTACTCGTCGTAGCCGTAAGCAAGGGTAAATTGCCTCTTACCCGCAAGAAACGGGTGGGTTACCAGGTAGAATAGTTACGCCATTATCACATCTGGTAAATACCCGTTGCCTTTCATAAAACTACAAGATAAACATGTTCGCTTACCCGTACCGGTAGGCTGAAATGGTGTATCTTATATAAATAATGTCCCTAATAATGGTATTTCCTTAAGTTTAAAAACCCCCAAAAGCAAATGTGTGTAGTAAATTTAATTTAACTTTAAAAATCGAGTGAATTTCTTGTTAGGTAGTTTCTTTTATCTTATTTCGTGAATTTTATTCGTACAACGGATTGTTAGCGATGTAAAGTTTAAACTGAGTAATTGGAAATTAAAGGTATGAATACAAAACAGAGCCAATGCAATGTGTAGGCCATTCCTTTCCCGGCAGTCTCTGGGGTCAGCTCTATTTGTAAAGCAGTCAGCAGCTGCCACGTTTGCAGCAGGGTGCGACCAGCTTGCCTTTTCCTCAAACACATATGGTGTATTCAATTCACGGCCAAATGGATGGTCCCCAATGATTTCAACAGAGAGCCCATAAACAAGTGCAATGTACGAAATAGTAATCATTAGTTGTACAGCTGGAGTGACATCCATATTTAAAACTGGAATAATCATGTCTGGAAGTTATCCGTTTCGAAAAATTTCGCAATTTCTTTTGGACAGGAAAACTGTACGTTTTCAAGCTGCTTTTCCAAAACATTTACATTTCATGAATAAATTTTTAGATGTACCTTTAATAGAGACACCACTGCCAATGAAAGATATAGCGTAAACATTACGGAGAAGATATACTTTGAACTGTTGTTTAGGACCTGTTATTACTGACTATTTTCGCACAACATGTTTTGGGCAGCAATTATGTAACATGTGTTACATCTCTCCTGTGTGGTCCACGGGCCGATTTATGGCAGTTTTATGGTTTTTTATGTAAACCGTGTTTTCTCTCTATATAAAGACGTAACATATATTTTATGTAAGGTAAGCTGTTTTTGATTGAAATCCTTTCATTTTCGTAGGTTGCAGAAACGATAGGTTTTTTCCCCAAACAAATCCTTATATTTCGAATGTTATACGCAACAATGCCGATGCTCGCCGACGCTCATATTTCGAGCTTGGGCTACCTCTCCTTCAAAATAATGGCTCAAAAAACCGCTTTTGAGGCAAAAGAACGACTATATACCACAGGTGAGGAAATTCAACGTTTATTTATCATTGATTTGTATACATAGTTAGCGACATATCGGTATAGGTGAGGTGAGGCAAACGGTAAATCCAGTACATTTACTATTAGATTACGAGCAGTCTCTGTTTTTTCTTGGTGCGTCGCGCAAAACGCCCAGGGGCACCCAACGACCGTTTTCGGGGAAATATCTGTTCGGAGCCCTCTAGAATGGCTAAAATTTTCTAGAGCCCAAGAACAGCTAAAAATTTCGAAAATGTTTCGTGGTGACTGTTCGTTGGGCTCAGAGTTTCGGGATTTGTGTGGTTTGTTCACCTAAGAATTTCGGATTTTGTAGTAATCTCTAGATCACCTAGAAATTTCCTTGCCTTCGTAGTAATCTCTAGATTCTGATTTCGGCACCTAGAAATTTGGTAGCTTTCGTGGTAATCTCTAGATTCTGATTCAACTGGCTTTAAAATCACTTAAATGCCATTTCTTTTACACCTAGAATTTTCTATACATTCATTAGACGTTTCAACTGGCTTTGAAATCACTTAAACGCACTTTTCTTTTACTCCTAGAATTTTCTATACATTCTACGTCGCCCTAGAAAATTCGGAGACATTCTCACACTAGATAAAGTTTTCGGAGAAAACTTGAAAGGACCCCTAAAAATTTCGGTCAAGGG